ACCAGTTGTAACTACAACTGTGCCGGCTGTGAAGTGTGTTTCTCAACCCATTCCAGGAAGACAAGAGTTGGAGGTTAGTTTGCCCTGTTTTCATCACTGCATTTATTCCCATACATTCTTAATTTTGACTTTTGTGTAGGTCCTTTTTGAAACTTTTGAACTCTTATAGCCTTACTTGCTAAAGATAAAGAGTGTAAAACAATTTTATTGTTATAAAACATGAGTTATAATTAATTGAAAACAAAATGCTAAGGAAAATGTCTAGACCTAATTGTTGATGTTGGACTTCTGGGCTTGAGCCCTGAAGATAGAGACAGTATGTTTCTCCAAAACATTGGTATCTACTACACATCCACATGGCGTAACAACCCAGGAGTCCAGCATTAGCATCATCACCACTTTGAGAACCTCAGGTCAAAAACATTAACTCTGTAGTTAATGATGTTACATAATACAAAATACTTTATGTAAAATGGAGGGTTATCATATAATGTGATTGAAGTATGTGCATAATTATAGACTATTATTTTATTGCTTATAGATGAAAGCAATAAAAAGACAACAACGAATGATTAAAAACCGTGAATCAGCTTGTCTGTCAAGAAAGAAAAAAAAGGAGTATGTAACATCTCTTGAGAACCAGATCTCTGAGCTTCAACAGGAAAATGTACAGCTTAAATTGGTAAATAGTTTATTTTTATCAAAGTTATGGTATTGTGTATATATAATCATTTGGACAAGAGACAACCAATAGTAAACTCTTGTTATATTGGATGTAACTCATTCACCACAAAAAGCCACATGAAATATAGAAATTTGACCTGCGTTACATGCAGTTATCAGAAAAATGACCTGTATATCTGAGCAATGTGTGTCTATGGGTAGGTTCAACCAAGTTTACAGCACAGCCAAAACCCAAGGGTCACCACAGAGTAACATCTGTACTAGCTAATTGTTCCACTTTCTTTTTAGGAAAATATTGCATTAAAAGAAAGGCTGTCACTCTATGAAGAAAACTCAACATGGAAACGGCCAGGAGTTTTGAACGGTAACATCAGGAAAACCACAGCTGTGTTGGCTGTTCTGTTCATGGTCTCATTCAATATTGGCTCCTTGGGGTAAGATAATGAATATAGCTTAGCCATACCATGTGTACTGTAAAATTCTTTCATTCATTAGTCTTTGCTGCCATCTGTATTTATGCCTGTATTCCTGTATCTTTGTGTAACCACACTTCTACAGATCTCACTTTCTTTTTGGAAAACTTCTGTAACTTTCCCTAAGTCCGATTCTATGCACGGGATGCATGAAAAAGTCATATAGGGGCCAAAATGGTAGATAATGAGCACTTGTCAGTAGGAATGTATATTTATGTTTGCCATAATAAATAAGCGATTTTATTGCTTCAGTGCACTTTATTATAAGAAACTCCTTTCAAAGAATGAGCATTAATGTTTTTAATAAGGATGTGTGACGATTTTCAATTTTGAAATTTGCAGTTCATTCATATGTAATTAATATAAAGGTACTTTGTGGCTATCAGGGCATTTTGAAAACATTTATTCTGGCTGAGCAAATGTTTTTACTAATGGATATAGCTGAATAGTCATCAGTACTCATGTTTATATTCAGGATTTTGCAACTTGTCATGTTATGTAAGGCTGAGGTTCTCGTAGCAGTGAAGATGTCAGTAGTGTTATTTTGGGTCGAACACCATGTGGACTTCAGTCGTTGAAGATGGAAACATTACGTTCCTCTTAAATGTTGGTATCCACATACATGTCCGTACAGCAACACTACCCAAAATACCACCATGAGTGTCATAAATCATGTTAAGGTTTTTTGTTTCAGTGGCCTTTTTCACCAAGGGCCTGATCCACTAGGAGAACTTCAGGGTTCCCCTGCATCACAAAAATTACCAAGTTTCAGACATGGGCGGTCACTGCTGTGGTCAGATATGGATAGAAGAAACTTTCCATCTGTAGAAGATCCTTTTAGTGATGTGAACCCAATTTCAAATACATCAAATATACATGCAACATGCCCAATGTTTATAAATCAGACTGAGTCCATAAGGTAATATTAAATTTTCTAACTAACAAATTTATTTTTCGGTTGTACCTCAGCTCTTCAGTTGTCTATTGTCGGTGGAGGCTGACAATTCACTGTCACCACCAACAGTCAACATTGAATCTTATTGTGGGCCATTTCAACTCACAATTTAATTAGTTATGTAAGATTTATTTTAATGTACTTTCCTAAGGATATTTATTTTGAAGGGTTGGTCTGTCTGACAGGACACAGTATTTTGGAGGGAAAAAAAAATTTCACGTAAACAGAATTGACATAATATATGTTATAATAATTTATTGTTAGCTTTGATGGTGATTTATTGTTCATATTTATCATGTTTTTGGGTGCTGGCACCATGTGCAAGTGGGATGTATGGCCAACATTTCAGAGAAACACAGTGCCTTCATCATCAATGGAGGTAGTATGTTCCTCTTAAACATTTGCAACACAGCCTACTTCCACAAGGTGGAAACACCTGAAAGCAGGAGAAGCATGTAATTCATCTGAGAGTAAATATTAAAGGTCCATGTTAAACTTCTGCAGAATCTTTTGGAATAATATTGTCACTTGTTACAAATAAATTGACTGTAGTACCCATTTGTCTCTTTGATTTTATTAAAATAAAATGTGTATTGTTTCCTTTATATTTTGCAGTTCAAATGCATTATACTCATAAATGCAAGGACTAAGAAGTTTCTAAGTAAGAAATGTGATAAAACCGGTTGACTACAACATCACAAAAATTAATGTGTTTGGTAACCACATCTTTGATGTAAAATCATGCAGTACTTAATTAGTTGAATGCCATGAAGAAACCACATATATGTATCATAGACTTATACATGTTCACTTCAGTGTTTGAAAAAATCGGTCGTGAGAAATATGACATGTCTCTTGCCATGAGACATCAAGGTGGCATAAACTCTGTTGGATACATGAGCAAGGAAATGGGAACGAATAAGTCTGCATGAAATTACTCTTAGTTATTTACATACATGTCTGAACATCTAACAGTTCTGTAGTAGAGCCTTTTGATATTCATGTTACCACAATTCTAGACCATTTAGCAAAATGTATTCTTACAGCATAGTTTCTCTTTCATGTTATTTGATATTGTGAACTGTCACAATTTATTTGCTGTAATATAATTGGAATATTGTTTTCAATCTTCATCCACAAATAAAACCACTGTTGTGCACACAGATTGGATAGTGAGTTACGCCGCTGGATTGGGGTGGATCTGGAATCTGAAAACTTGACACACCAGCCAAAACCAGAGGTTAAGTCATTGGGTGAATTACTGCTTCCTGTCCCAACCACAAAACCACAGTCCCATAAGTTTAAACCAAAAACCAAGAGAAAACAACAAATGTAAGTTAATTGACAAATAATATGAAGTAGAAATTTTAGTATTATTCATTAAAGACATACAGATTAGACAAAGTATTTACCAGGTTTAGGTATTATACGTATATGTGTATAAGAGAAACAGAGATGCAGAAGGCTTGCATCTCAGAAAGGATATTTTCAGTATAGTGGACTGCATGTATCAAACTGATTTTTAGCAAGCCAGTAATTGCTTTTCAGTAGTATGCAGATGTACCGCTTACAGACATTTTTCTCACAAAACAAACAAGTATGGAAAGATTAAGTATTCTGGGTGGTGTGAGTTTAGATTGTGGTCTTCTGGGTGGTTACCAATATTTTGGAAGAACATTCTGCTTCAGTCTTATGTATTATAACTATCCTTCCTCACTACTTTTATATTCTTTGTTCTTGCAGAAAGAGATAGTTATATCCCGAACTAGAGTCAGTGGGGAACAAGGATCACCTCAGGGTTGACGTGGTAATTTTGATGTATATCAATAAATACAGGAACAACAAATTTAAGAAACCGAATAATTTTACTTTTTAAATTTACATAAAATCTTGTACACTGTTTCCCTGACTGGTACTAAAGTTTGGGTTACTGTCTGAAAGCCCGCTGTCGACTCTGTCCACTTGAGTACTGCCATGTGTTTTGACCTGCAGACCAGATCCCTTGCTGGCGAGGTAACCTCCACATGTGGCTTGCTAGCGGGGGGGCCTTCACCCCTGATCTTCCGGCCATTTGAAATTTAAAGTCAAAAAGTTACAGGGGTTCTGGACTGGTATAGTATAGTTGCAGGCAAAGAGTGGTAACCGTCTACAAGACTACATGGCATCACAATCCAGAAAACTACAGTCCACATGTAGAGATTTTCTACATAGTTAGTGAACAGTTATTTAATTAGGTGAGATTTTAAGTTTTTATGGTGGCAGGTATGAAGATAGTTGTCTTCTGGGATGTTACACCATGTTGTCTGGTAGATTGCCCTTACAATGAAGGTAGCAAGCACGTCTGAGATGTCGGTAAACTTCTACGAGACTGCATGGCGCAACATCCCTGTTACATTATTATTCCATGAATCCACAGTTCACGCAGACAGCCAGCCGTCAGCAATGAAGTGGAAGTGTATGGCATAAGACCACAGTACTACAATTATGCTGCTTTCTTTGAGGCAATACATAGAAGGGATGATACTTTTTATGTTGTGTCCTTCTCTGGCGATCATCTGCTTGTGCCTGCTCTTGCTCATAACAAAACAGTACGTCCAAAGATGTCTCTGGTGTTACCTGCATTGCCCTTCAATGGTAAGAAAATGTGACAGTTTTAAATATTTGTTCAAGAATTTGTAAAACATTAATCTTGTTAGAGGCAAAAATTTAAATTCATGATAAAAGTATTTAACAATGCTATTGTAATCTCTGAAGTAGGAGTAGTATAACCTAAAAGTCATTCAACCAACCAAAGTAAATGAATTATTGTTTATGAAGTTCCATGCTTCAAAGTTATGTCAACAGCACTTTTCAGTAGGAAGAACAATTTTTTGTTCCTGCCTTCTCTGAACTTAATCTTTTCATTTATAAGTTGTGCAAGGTGGAAGAGTAGCTAGTGACATCCTCCCATGAGAATCTTTGAGAGTCCTTTTCCTGATAAGTGTCTGTCCTTTCCCACATACATCCTCTGTATTTATTGCCCAAATTGTATAAGCTGTAACATTATTGCAGAATCAATGACAGCACCTCCAAACCACGTTACAATGATGCAAATAGACTGTGAAGTAACAAATACGCAGTTGCTTCATGTAAAAAAAGGAGATATCCCAGCTCATTTGAGGCAGAATGACACAGGACACTACTCCAATTCAACAGCTTCAGATAAGCCAAGCACAAAGGATCAAGCTGATGATGACTTCACATCTGAGAGACGTCCAGCCATGACCAGATCTCAGCCTTATCGGCCGTATTTTGTTAAACCAAATCACAAGAAGTTTATGGACAATGGTGAGTTTCCCAGTGAACCCAAAATTAGTGTTGAATTTGGTAGCTCCAATCCATATAATATCACCAGTAATAGGATGTCAAATCTCAGCAATGTGCTCAGTTCTAAAGATTATATGAAAAAGGACCCCAGGTTTACATAATTCTGTAAAGCTTGTATTTTTTTAAGTATAGTGTGACTGATAAGAACTCTCAGAAACTTCCTCTCTTTTTCATACTGTTAACCATTCAGATTGAATTGCCCAGCACAGAATTAGTTATTTAATTGGCGTCACATCCAATGGTGGTCTAGCGGTTAGAACGCTGGACTTGTAATACTGGGGTCCCGGGTTCGATTTCTGGCGGTGCTCAGATTTACAACTTGTGTTGGGCAAGGCCATGGTCTAGGCATCACGAAGTTTTCCTCCGGGGTTTCTCCGTGGCATCCCAACAATTACTCCACTTTCGTCATCATTTCACAAAAAAGGGGTCACAGCAGGAGCGTTAAATGTCGCGGTCTCAATCGAATCCATGTACTGATGGGTCGTGAATCCTGCTAACCACCAATGCACACCATGCTGAATGGTGTGTGCTGGACATGAAAAAAAATTGGCATCACAAACTTTAGTAACTGTTAAGTTAATTTACTGTGATAGGAATTCAATTTTCCATGTTTGTTGTTTTCTAAGAGTTGTTCCGGGACTTTCTTAACATCATTTTATTCACCTTCTTTCCTCAAAACATACATTATTGGAATTTTCATCTCAGTTTTCAATTGTTTCTGGATCTGTACTCTACTGCAGCTCTGGTTCTTATCCAGTGAGGGTATCTGGTTTGTCGGTCCACCAGTGTCAGGTACTTTCTTCTGATCTAACGTCAGGTTTTATTTCAGCTTTGAAGAATATGTTTATGAATTAAATAATCATGATACACTTGATTTGGCTGTTAATTGTAAGTTGAGGATTATTGAACAGCTTTATGGATAAATTTTGTAGTAATAATCATCAGTTTTTTATTGCCCTAATCTCAGAAGATAAATAAATAAGAAGCTTACAAATCCTGATTTACATGCTGCAGCTTTTTTGCATTTTATCATGCAAATAGTTTACTGTGTAACCTGTTTTAATTGTAAGAAGTCAGATGTGTTCTTAATATACGTACATTGCATTTTCAGTCAATATTATCTTAGGAGTAAACAGTTCTGAAGTAATTGTACTTAAAACAATTTTTACAAAGCATACATTTGAAATGTATTAGGCCTGCTGTATAAGTATTTGTGTTAAGATGATGTTGGGAGAGCATTTATATGATTTAATTTGTTGTTTTTATTATGTTACTATTTTTTAAGATTAAATTTGTCACTTCTCTAAAGTTTGTAGAATAAGTACAGATAGGTCCAGCAGAAGTACTTGGCAATATTTGAAATTACAGTACTTCTGGAGTAGTAGCGGTAATGTGGTTTTGAGGTGATAAATTATATAAACCAAATTTTTTGGTGTAAGCAAACTATGTATGAATTGTAGTGATTTGGTATAGAGTGAAGTAACACATTTTGTGTGCTTGGGACCAACCAAGATATGTAATAAATGTTTGTTAGACTGTACTGTCCAAGTACAGCCAGATACCGTCATGTCTCCACCAGCAAACATGAAGAAAGAGAGAGGAACCCTAGTGTCCGAAGTATCGGCCTGTGCATGAGAAGTATTGTTTCATGCTAGACCATATTTAATGCATATTTTCCATTAATGCCAGAGTATGGTCACACTACCTAGGTTCTCTCCAGCAACTACCGTGGGCTGTTACAGAATCTTGTTATTTTTTGAAAGTATTATCCTACAGATGAGCTTTGTTAGACTTGATACACTGTTGCAAATATGTGGTAAAGTTCCTCATGGTCCATTGCACATCAGAATCTTATTTGTTTCTACACAGATTTGTGCTTTAAAATTGCAATGATAATCTGCTGTTTATGTGATATTCAAGACTTGACTTAAAGTTTACAAGAGTTTTCATAAACTTGGTTTAATTTTTGTGGTTCAAAACTTTGCTACTAGTACTGATGTTTTTATGGTTCAATTGGTTTCTTATTGCTTATCACATGACTTATTTGTGGTTGGCTAACTTGCCCCTACTGTATCATTCAAAACTTTACATTAAACTTCTGTTCAGACAGCCTACCTGCATATTATGTCATGTGGTTCCTTTAATGAATTTTTCCCTTTGAAGTGTTTTGGCTGGATTTGTGGGGACTGTATAAGTAAGGCACAACTGAATTGAGTTATTAAGTTGACTAAATGACAGAGACATTCTTAGTAGCCTTCAGTGAGCATAATGTCTCATATTCTTAAAACCCACTCTTGTCTAATTCTAAAAGCAAGTAATCATTACTGTTATCATGAGATGGGTGGATGAGGTGAAACTTTGTAGCTATTTATCTTCCTCATTATTTATAAATTGGGAGGTCCAGGACTGCTGCAGTGTTTAAAATAATGACATCTTCAGGTTTTCTTGCACTACGTACTACTTTTTATTAAAGAATGTTAAGGTAGTTATTTAAGGGCTTTTATAGACAGTTGTGATTATAGTATATTATAAAAACTTCATTTAGATATAATTAAGAATAATCTTAAACTTAAGATATGTTGATTAGATTGTGTGATGATGGTAAACGTTACTTTTGCCGAGTTTTCTATTGTACGACACATTATTTCTTGTGGTGGCTGTTCAGCCAGCAGATGGATGACTTAAAAATTGCAGGGATGACAGTGTAAATCTCTGTGTAAAATTGTTTGCACACTTTGTTACATTTGAAGCACTGAAGCACGTGTTATGGTGGGTGAATAATACAAGACCTACCTGTTGATTTCACATCTCATACAGAACCTTAATATCTTTTGAAACTGAGAGGAGAATAGTTATGAGAGGGAGCACCTCACCAGTTAATTACCACCAGAATTTTCACATCATTGATATAACAGACTCTATTTTAACGCTTTATATTGAACTGAACTACAAGGTCTTTTCATTACAATGCACAGTGAATTATATTTTGAGAGGATGGTCAAAGTATATCTGCTGGATCATGTATAATTGTAATTATCTATTGTATATTGTAATATTTAATGATGTAAATATAGATTTTTAAGTGTCTTGCACTCTGTAATGTTGCCGCCATTGCAGTATGTGTGTACATGTATATGTGGAAGATTGGTATAATAATGAAGTAAAATGTTTCCTATCCTTTAGAACAGTGGTATTTAACCTTTTTTGTTCGCGTACCCCCAAAGTTGTTGGTGTATAATTCAAGTTATACATAGTATATAATCTACATCTAAAATAAATTACATTACTGATTAAAATTAAATCTGTGGTGTAACAGCTCTAGAGAGCCAAAGCCGACTAGCTTGACTGCTGGCCTCACGTTCACATGCATAAGCAGAGGTGAACGATCATCCAACCACATATAGGGTGTGACGTGTGGTCAGTACGGGGAACCCCCAGCCATTGCTAGCTTTCCTGACCAGATTATGCTACTCATTTTAGCTCCCCAATTTCCTCACGATGCTGGGTTGGCACCGGCCCCATACACTAGTCGAAGGCTCATGAGAAAATTTCTTCTTCCCCGAGACTCGAACCAGCGCGCATTCCGTATTGCCGGTCCGAAGCATGATGCCTCAGACTGCGCAGCTACAGCGCAGGACTACATTACTGATTATTCAGTGTTTATCATATTTTTTTTAAAAAAAAAATTCACGTACCCCAGGTTGAATACCACTACTTTAGAACAAGGTTCACCATAATGTGTGACAGGTTATGATGTTTTATCATTTAGAAACGGCTATCATGACTATTCATGGAGTAATTTGGTACAGGACTGCATGTAAAGAGCTGTTCCAAGTGAGGGTACTGTCCAGACTAGCTCTGTGGCCTATTGAACTCTTGTTCGTCATGTACTAGGAATTTCTTGTGTGGTTGAAGGCAGACTATATGAAGCGAACTGCTTGCCTCATAGTGCTAAGATCTGAGAATGGGACCTCCATGCTCCATATGTTCCTTTGTAGCTTGATGTTAAGGCTCAGGGAAAACTTAAAAACCTTAACCATTTTTTGTTATGTTTTGTTAAAACATGCTCATACTGCTTTTCTTTGATTCTTATGGTATTATAAAGACATACTAAAGGCTGTAATGTATATTAGATTCACTTCAGTGCATGGATGAACTGTTTTTATTTAGAACTTAGTTTCTGGATTTATAATGCCTGTGAAAGCAAAAATGAGAACAAGAGTATAGGAATTTGAGAGAAGGGTTCAAATTTCCAGTTTTTGTCATATATTTACAAAATTATACTTTCTGAATCATGTTCAGTTTAATTTAACATTCATTATTCAAAATTAAAGGAATGAATGACCATACAGAACCTTTATCTGAAAGTAATTTTATTTGGTTATGTTTCATTTACAAAATTAATAAACTTTGCTTTGAGTAGGGATAATGGAATCAAATTGACATTAGCCCAAAAATTAAACCACCAAATTGTAACTCGCCTATTTAAACAGTGCGAGAATGAATTCCTGTTATTATTACTATTATTGTTGTGCATGTGGTAATATTCTTTTTTGAAATAAGAGGAGCCCTTGATGATGGCCAACTAGAAGTAAAAACATGATTTTAAGATTATAGAAAAATCCTTTTGTATAGGAACAAACGTGCAGTTGTATCTAAATGGTATTTATACATACATTATTGAATTAGAATACAACAGTCATGGAATCAAGTATTAAAATAATTTGTATATTTGTTACCAGAAGTGCCTGAAATCTGTCTAGTTTGTCCTAGGCAAAAATAGAAACTCCTGTCACTGTTAGGAGTGTGGTTGGGATAGGTTGCATTAGGTATTCTAGTTTTGCATAGGACAAACTAGTTTAGATGGATTTCATGTTTTTTTGGTGACATGTATTTGCTAAACTACAGTGTCATGTTTGTCCTTTCTTACATAAGTTATAGGTTTAACTTGCATTTAAATGTTTATATAGTTCACATAACATCATAAATTTGTATGTCATAAGTTTCATTTGTAAATTCATTTTGTCACTGGTTCAAAATGGCAGTGCTCCCTTACAAGAATATATTTTTAAGATTCTAGTGTCACTGATTGTTGTATTCTGAAGAATGAAGGGATACACGAATAGTAGACTGAGAGGAAGTCTAGTTTTTGTTGTGGCATGGCAGAGAAACAACATTGTGTGTTTTTATTGCTTTCTCTGATTTCTCATAGAAACACTTGCATTTTATTCACTAATGTAAAAAGTGAAGACTCACTAACTGTTAATGACTAGTTCCTGACAAGTCTCACAGTAGACGGCTGAAAGCATGATGAATTAAATGTTTCAAAAGTAATTAACTTTCAGCTAGAATCTTAGTGGTGTCTGAAAGGCTGTTAGTACTGTTTACAACAGTGCATTTAGCATGTAAGATAGTACTGTAAATTGGTGTGTTCGTGATGTGTTCATTTGTTGTCTGAAGCACAAGTGCAATTTTGGTTATAGATATGGATGAGGGTTTGCCTGTTTCTTTTTATTCTTCATTCTTCTCCTGTAAGTAAAATGTGTAAAGTATATACTGAAAATGATATGTTGGAGTGTTGTTGAACTGGATTAAAACTCCTCATGATCGTAATTTTTATTCTCTTAAAGAGGATTCCATTCATAACGTAATGTTGAAGTATAAATTACAATAAAATATTGTATGATTTATGAAGTAAAATAATATGAATTGAATAAAACTGTGATTACATGTTCATATTTTTTACTTCTGGTGACAGATAAGGTATTGTAATAGTAAAAATCATCTTTGTGTTTTTAACAGAAATGCATGTTTTAGGTACCTATGAGCCTAAAATTGTGGGTGTTGTGCTTAGTCCCTTCCAAAGCAAATGAATGACAGAAAACTTTGTTTTCTATCTTGTAAGTATCTATCTTACACCAAAAAGTGACAATTCTGTATCATATAAGTTTCATACAGAATTTGCAGATTATGTCCATATGTAATTTCACTAGCCTAGCTCCAGTAGTTCATTAGTTATTGTCATCAGACCAAAAGATAAGACTTCAGGTTCTTATGGTATTATGTATAAAGATAGCTGTCTTGTAGGATGTTGTTGGTAGATAGTGACCATTGTTTCAGAGGAGCTTACTGACAACATGGTACAATATTTCAGGAAACAGTAAATTTTATTTTTGTGTAGTGTATTTTAGATTCTATAAAAGAATATGTAAGGTGTGCATTCAGCATATTGTTTCACCATGGTCTGTATGATGGGTCAATTATTTTTCTTATAGCTTATGTATCCAGACAAGCTCTGGGGCCCATCCAGCCTCCTATCTAGTGGATATAGGTGGTACTTTCCCTGGGGTGTGATGGTAACCACTCAGCCAAATCAAGTGCTGTGGTCAAGAATGAGTAGAAGCTAGACCTCTTCTCTCATGGTATGTAGTGAGACAGCTTTACTTCTACAAAAGAATATCCTTAACAGAAGTTGTACCTTTTGAAGACCTGTTACCACAAAATGTTATGGTGGTACATTAAGTGGTGTTAAAGTGACTGACACAAGTGGACATTTACGCACATCTGCCATCACATGCCCTCATGAGCCAATCAGTTTCAGAGATTTGGTGTTGAAATATTAATTTACATCAAGTGTGAAGCAGACTCCATTTGTGTGCATTTGTGTATATCTGCACCACCCACCTTCATTTGTGTCTGTCAGTATAGTGTCCTTCCCATCTCAGAAATCACATGACTACACATTACTATTCATGGCAAGAAATGAAAATAAACAAAGTCACAGTGCCCTCTATTCCAGGATCTCCTTCCTTACAAAATGTTATTACAGTCCATCAATTGGTCCAAAAGTTATTGGGGGAGAGGTTAGACACACAGATTGGAATATAGGTAAATTAAAAATGTTTTATTATGCAATGTAATCTCATACTAACTTTGCCTTACATTTAACTACCACTCACATATCCATCACCTATTAAAATATCATATAAAAGTACATAATTATCTTTCTTAAGCACTATTAAAATTCACACCACAACTGACTCTGGATAAAATTCAGTGGTAAGCTATTGAGATGGGTTTCACAACACATTTGTTGATCAGCATGGCACCTGTCACTTTCTCATGGCGTAAGATTTGCTACTACTTGATTCTTTCATTTTTATTATAAATAATGGGTTTCCCACATATACTCAGCAGATATTTTGATTTTACCATTGGCTCTCAACCTGTTCGTATCTTGATATGGAGCACAATTTCAGTTGTATTATATGTACTGTGAATTATAATTCAAGATATCTTGCCTTAATCACAGGGAAATTGCTGAAACATTGGGTTCTCTTGCTTGTAATAGCAGGGAGAATAAAATGTGGGACTGCACTTTCTCAGGACAGAATACCTGCTATGGCACATTATGTACTGTGTTATAAAATCTATAACAAATTCCTTAGTACAGAGTCTTACGTAGGTGGTGGTTATTCATCTGGTCAAGAACCTACAATATTCAGTGACCAATACTACAATTGTAATGAGCAAGTTACAAGTATTGTGATCCTAGTATTATTTATTTTCTTACATTTTCATAAAAAGTTTATATGAAACATCTTTTACATCCATAATCTGTGGCAGATTCATGAAAACCTTAAATAATTGTTATTATTGAACTTCTTGCTAGCTTCAAATTTAAATAAAAGTGATCAACTTACAGTTACCAAGATCAAAAGTAAAATTCCAAACATTTTATTCTCTTCAGAGACTGTGCATCATAATACACGCAATAAATTAAATGTAAAAGGAATGTGTCCATCAAAGTATGGGTTCCAAGAAGCAGATATTCATTCATCATAAGTTCCAGTTCTTTCATCTATAAGTCACAGTTGGTTCACTTATGGACAAATAACTTTAAAAGTAATACACACAATATATAAAACTGAAGGACAGAATTCTTCAGTGACAGACCACTGAGGTTTTAAAAATGCTTGAAGAGTCAAAGCATATTATACAGTCAGTTAACGTATGGTTAAATTTGTTATTCATATTATTCAGTCATCATTTTGAAGTGAGAATGCCAGTATTCAGACTTAACTTACCTCAAAACAAGACTAGCATTAAGCACAGAATATCTGATTAACTTCAACAATAAATGCTTTATAAACCAACGCATTAAGTACTTTTTTCAAATAACATGAACACAATGAAGGTAATACATTTTCTAAAATATAACAGGCATTGACCGGTTCTGAAATGCTGACTTATCTTGCATTTTCCTTAAATCATTGACTTTATTTTGAGTTTGATCATATTTCTTAGTCTTAACCCTATTTCAGATCAGGTGTAGAACCTCCAAGGTAGACACTTAAGTCACTGATAGTGGATTTCACCAGCTTGGCCCTTATCGTCGGTAAACCCAAACGTCTGTGCGCAGAGTATCGATGACAACCACCAAACGAATAGTAATAATCACCTCCTTCTCGACCTTTAATCCATAAAACGTCAATCGGTGGCACTTCAGAACACTTTACTGGATCCTGAAATACAATATATCAGAGTGTAACTTCAAATCAATGGCTACTGTTACTCATGTTCCGTTGTCATTGTTCTTCAGAAAATTACTACTACTGGAATCTTTAAATCAAAACTTTGTTTGGAATGATAACACAATCATGAATGAATTTACATAATTACAAGAATGTTTGACAAAATATACATTAAGTAGATCTTAACTAAACACAAAATATTAATTTACCTGCAGGGTCTTCATTATGCTCTGAACTTTATCTTCATTTACTTCTAGTGGAAATGGGCGAATGAGAACTGTGATTGGAATATCATGAACTTCTTCAATTAATCCAGCATGGATGCTGGTAATTTCTGTATCTGATTCAGAAACTTTAGTTGTAGATGCCATTGCTGTAATGAAAGAAGCTTCAAATAAGCCTTTAACAATAAATTAGTAATTCAACAAGGAATATATGGGAATTAACAGAAGGCCTAAAGTTTCCGGTTTGACACCCAACATATATCAGGTAACCACTGCAGACAGCCATAGTGTTTAGTGCTTGAAGGTTATATTTATACCATGTACTGATATTGTGGATATCTGAGTTTGAAATTTTTCTGTATTGTCCAGTACAAATGATGACAGCTATAATTTGCTGGCTAGTGGATGAATTCCATGTTTTATAGTGCCATAATTTGAATACATGCCATTATTTGAATCTGGTGATTTTATTTCTACTTGTTTCCTTCTGTCATCAAGGTACGTTATCAATGACCATGCATTTTTATTACTATAAATATCATCAGAGGCAGTGTTTACCAAATATGGATACCACGAAACTTCCACATCAGTGTGCGCTAACATAATCAATTCATACTGTTTTCCCATGCGATCATTAAGGAGAATGGAGTTTATTTTATTTCTTCTAACCTCAAAGTACTGCAATATATTTCAACCTCCACAATAGCTAGGAATTTTTAATCCTGAAGTGAATACAAACTAGTTTACCCGATCCTGCAAATATTCGAGGCCTTCTAACAACTATTTTCTTCAGTACCGAGTTCATAACGCATGAAACATAAAACACTTAATTCCGTAGATCCATACAGCGGGGTGTTTGTTATCATTTTCAAACAAGGATCGCATCTTCTACCATCACATGACGTGTAGCAATCAGTGACAAACAATAAGGCCACATAAACAAAAATAAAATTCTCACTACGTGTCCGAGTCAGCTACTTGTAGAGAATATAGAGTGTTATTGAATGGAATATTCACTGCACTCTAGGATTGAAAGATTATCTTCTAGCTCACTCCTTCCACTCGGTAGATCTTATTTTAATGGGAAATTCTGGAGCATTTTAAATGTTTAGGAAGATGTTCGTTCTTTCGTAATTGCTCTTTATAGTTTAGTACCCCTACAAATTTTATAACGGCCAATTGATTCTGTACCTTATTTTCCATTTGAATTTTCGGTAGGTGTTTAAGGCATGTAATTATACTTGCATTTGTATTTTTCACTTTATAGCACATGTTTTACGCCCCTTGTTTAAACATACGAAGAGTCTACTGAATGCAATACATTCTAATTCCACAAACCTCTGCATGTAGCATCGTTCATGCGTTCTGCACAGAATTTTTTCGTAAATTTTCCTTCCTCTTCAAGTGACAATGCCTCACGTTTTCTTCTGAATATAGTTAATGTGGTGTCCATCAAAAGCAGTCTCCCGTCCATCCCAATTAAGATTATAAACCCCAAATGGTGATTCTCCGACGAACTTAAAATATCAAAACTGCTATTTTTGACCGCTGTAAACATTCACGAAACCAATTTGCCCACTTAAAAGGAAATTTGGTAGCATCACATGTAGCCAACAGCTGAATATTTAATCTGCTATATACACTGCTGTTAACTGTTGATTTCACTTTCCCATTATTTAGTGAACAGTTAGATATTATTCGCCGTACAATGTAAAATATATATCTATTTCGCCCCCCTTAACTTGTGATGTTTTTAGATACGTTTGTTCTATTGTAAATCCTAATCCAGTAAAATTGATGACGGGAATATTTTTTTTGTCACCAAGATTGGAATACTTTAATGTAAATAAGTTGTACGGCATTTTCAAATCTAGGAAGTCTGATAATTAAATTACCGACTGATTCAGGAAATAAAATATATTATCTCTATCCTTGATCCATCAGATCTCCAGTACTATTAGTAATAATGTTCAGTAGAAAACTGTTTATCAAATTAAATTCACTTTACAACACTTAGCATTTTGTTTACAACTCTCAAGACTTTATAGTTGCGTTTGTTCAAGATCACGATCATGTTTTTAATACAAAAAACCATCGTCATAAACGCCGCCGTGAGAACTTGAATTTTCTACCAGAGAGGGTTTGTTGCTATGACAACAGAATAACAACGTGTATTGTGGCTTTGTATAAGTTTGGATTTCACTGATTTATCTAATAATCTTTATAGAATTTCAGATTTATTTTGTGTTGTATCATACTTTAGCGAAGAAAATACGAAAATAGTATGGTGAAGTTGCATGTTAAAAGAGGTGATGAAAGCCTGTTTTTATATGACACTACTGTTGAAAAACAGGTAGATGAAATTATTAAGGAGGTAACAGTTATCTACAATGGAAGATTGAAAATTAGACGAATATGCGATGGTAAGTCAATATAACTGACATGCTATTGCTTGCTTCCGTTTCGTTGTTGGTAGGTTCGTTAGGTTCTTGTGGTATAGGTTATGTTTGTGTTAGGTTATACAAATTGTCCTATTGTCACAACATCTTTGTCTTATTAAGATATGTAGTAAGGAGTGCCCCCCCAAATGCTCACACCCTTCTACTGGAAGGAAATTAGTGACCAGCTTCATGCAGTTACTACCCACCTGGAGAAATATACAATTTTATCTTTTGAATACAAAATTGAGTGTGAGATAGAACTGTCTTTATATGATGATGAAGGGAAAAATATATCTGTGTTTAATGTGAGATTATGAGGCTTTCATTTCTAAAGAATTATTAGTATTTAGGAGTCTTGTGCCAATATCATATGAAGGTATATTGGACTGCATATTTGTGGTAATTCTGTTAATTTGTGTCAAGGAGAAAAAGTAAATTCTTCTTATCACTGTAACTCCTGTTTATGGTATTTGTATTTGCTCTATCTCATGGAAGAAATAAGAAATGCATATAGATTGTGGTATAAAATATCTTGGAAGGGAGTTTGGTGGATAATAATATCTAAGATCACAGGAAATTAGGTTGTGAGGATCTTAAGTGGTTTGCAGTGGCTTGGAATTGCATACAATTGTGTGCTCAGGTATTAGCAGTCATTAATCTTAGAAGGTCACTAGGGAGGTAATTAGGTTCTATATTTTAATTTTCTGTGCATTAAATAAATTATGTAAGCTACATATGTATACGTTTGTTGTCGTAGAAATGGAAGAGCTTGCAAAGCATGGGACACTTCTTCCTCCAAATATTATGGGTCTAACAGATGAACAAGTGGAAGAACTGAAATTAGTGGATGAATGGGGAGAGAAATGTGTTCCTAGTGGTGGTTGGACCTTCAATAAAGATCCTATTGGAAGGAGAAATGGCAAGCAACCTAATGAGCATATGCAAGATGTCATTAAACGAACAACCGAAGAAGCAAAGGCAGTGGTCTCTAAGGTAAAGTATAGTTATTTCAAACATTTTATTTTATTTATAAAAATTGATTAAGATAGGTGGAGTGAAGAATTATATTTGAAATACCAGGTTTTAATGTTTTTTTCTCTGCAATAGTTTAGTAGTTTTGCTTTATTCTTATATTTTACTTGCTTTTGTATGCTCCCTGTTAATTTAACGTAACTGATGAGTCCATTTCCTTCAGCTGTGGTGTTTTGTATGTTTATATGTTGTTTCTTCACGCCATTGTCATGTATACAATACCAGTTCATGACATCTATTGCTCAATGCTAGAAGTTTGAGTTCAGGGGCAAAGTTTTATGACTGAAGAAGCTGACTCAAGTAGTAACACTTCTTACAAGTATTCAGGAGGCTTTTGCTTCAGATGTTGTGAATACCTTATGATTTTGAAATAAAATAAATTATGAAATAAAATAAAATACTAAGAAAATCTGTCAGTAATGCAGTTATTATTATTCTGCATTTACAGAAGCAAATCCAAGCTGATGTTTGTCTGACGCTGAAGATGGTTCAGAATGCTCTGGACATTCTTAGAGGTGCAGTAATGATTGTCTACCCTATGAATCTTCCACCACATGATGTAATACGTCATGAATTGGAGAATACTGAAGATCTGTCTGGAATGCAAGCTTCTTTAGAGGTTAGAGTTTGTGAATCCATAATTAAGAAGTCACTTTGGATGGAAATATTTCAGAGTTATTGCTCGTTTGTATGTAATACAGTTACTATAAAGAGTTTTAAAATTGGAATGTCTTTAGGAGGTTTTTCGTTAGGTTCGAACGAAGTCTAGAACTGAGGATTCAAATGCTGAGATGTTATGTTTTTTCTACATTTCTCTATGGATGCGAGAGCTGGACTCTTGATTCTCCCATGGAGAAAAGAATTGAAGCATTCGAAATGTATTTATATCGACGTATACTACGAATACCCTGGGTGCAAAAAGTCTCTAACATCGAAGTTCTCAATCGCATGAATAAGCAAAAAGGAACTACTGCTTGCCGTTAAGGAAAGAAAGGTCCGGCATTTGGGCCATATCATGAGAGGAGTACACTATGAGATCAAAATGAGGGCAAAATCCAAGGAAAAAGATCCATCGGTAGACCCCAAAACCCCTGAATGAAACACTCAAGAAGATGGTTCGGATGCACCTCAATAGACATCTTTTGAGCGGCAGTCTCGAGGACAATGTTCACCATGTGGATCGCCAACCTTCGTTCGGAGATGGCGCAATAAGAAGAAGAATATGTCTGTGGTAATACAGTGAAACCTCTATTTTACACTTTTGAAGGGCCCACCTTATGAGAATGTAAAATCAAGAAAAGTAAAATTGTGAAAATGAAAATTATGTGATCTAAAGAAGAATGTGGATTGCTGTGTAATAAAACCTTTTACAATCCATTTGAAATATATGTATAAGCTGTTGAAATACAAGATTGGTCAGTTCACCAGATGGTCTGATTCATTTGAAGAATAGCAGTAACCATGTCCAAAAATGACTGTCTTCTGAGATACTGCACTGTGCGCTCTGGTAGAGAGAGGTTTACTGATGTAATATTTGAGGTTTTCACAGCGGTGAATATGAAGATTTCTGTCTTCTGGGTTGTTGCGCTGTGTAGTCTGGTCGATGTTTACCAACGTTTCAGAGGTCATTCTGCCTCCGTCATCAGGGCAATGAATATTGTGTAGTCTGGTCGATGTTTACCAACGTTTCAGAGGTCATTCTGCCTCCGTCATCAGGGCAATGAATATTGTGTAGTCTGGTCGATGTTTACCAACGTTTCAGAGGTCATTCTGCCTCCGTCATCAGGGCAATGAATATTGTGTAGTCTGGTCGATGTTTACCAACGTTTCAGAGGTCATACTGCCTCCGTCATCAGGGCGATGAAGTATGACCTCAGAACCGTTGGTAAACATCGACCAGACTACTCAGCGCAACAACCCAGGAGACAGAAATCTTCAGGTTTACTGATGTTTCAGAAGTTCTTGGTGTGTCTGTCATCAGGGTCTGACTGCGGAGGCAGCAATCACCTCTGAAATGTTGGTAAACATCTACCAGGCTGTGTGGTGCAACAACTGAAATATCACCAATAGCCAGGTCTATTTGTGATCATTATAATTTCATGTTAGAAGCTTTTCATATTAGAGGCGACGTTTCAAAATGTAAAATAAATTGAACCTTAAATGTTTTGTTTTACTTTCAGGTCATAGAAGTCACACAAACCCAATTGTGGTTTTCTGGTAAAGAAATGTATCGAGATAAGAAGCTGGCAGATTACGTGGGCCGCAATGAAAAAACTAAGGTGATCGTGAAACTACAGAAGCAGGGACAGGGTGCACCTGGAAGAGAGCCGGTGGTCAGTGAAGAAGAACGCAAGCAGATGATGCTTCATGCTTACAGGCGCCAGGAAGAGCTCAAGGTACAGGACATGACTCTTAACGTTATTATTAAATAAAATGTAAAAACAAACAAGGAAACTGAAATCTAAATGAGCTATTCTTTATTGGTGTCTAATGTGAAAGTACGGGGTCCACAGTGTCTGAGGTGTGGGCCTTGTGCCACTTGGTCACTGGGACCGTGGGTTCGAATCCCACTCAAGCCATGGATGTTTGTCCGGTTTTTTCTGTGTTGTGCTGTCCTGTGTACAGGTAGGGGACTTGCGACGGGCCGATCCCTCGTCCAAGGAGTCCTACCGAATTGTCCATTGATCAAGCCAACTAATAAAAAGTTGGGGACCCGTAAAGGGTACCGGAAAATGTAGAAAACATTGTTAAACCGGAAAAAGAAGAAGAAGATGTGAAAGTACATTTGGGTAAGATTAGAGACATGAATTTTGGAGTGCCATTTCATTTGGCACTGACAACAAATTTAAAGGCCTGAATGATTAATTATATATTCTACACTTATTATTCAGAAATGCGCAACATTTGGATTGGATTTTTTTGAGAATGCATTATTTAAGCTAATGATAGGCTATTATATTGCTTTAATGAGTTTTTATAAAGGCTATTATATTGCTTTAATGAGTTTTTATAAATGTTTTCAAAGGAACTTAGTTTAAAATCTTGTGCACGTTATCGGAATGCTCAGAAATGTCTTTTCATTATAAAATCATGTGTGTGCATGCAGATTACCTCAGATAGAGATGTTTACAAGTTGGTCTTGTTCATAGCTACAAAGATCATTCAGAAATGATTGAGATTTGCCTAAAATACAGGCTGAGAGATGAAGATAGCCACACAATCACAAGTACTGCGCGCCCTGCATACTCCCTGCCGAGGTCAGTGCGCCATTGCGGTCTTTATTGGTAGTACTCACTAACTCGTGGACGTCCCTGTGCAGGTTGTTGCTGTTAGGGAATTCTTCATCTTGTAAAACAAGGAAAGCCACTGCACCATCAGGATTCCCTCCACATCATAGAAGACCATGACAATCTGCTTGCCAGCAGAACGAGCTGCCTGGAATTTATTGGGCGGACAGCTCCCACTCCTGTGGCTTTGTCTTTGTCTTTGATGTTGCCATAGCTTTCCTTCAGAGTATTGTTTGCCTTCCTTGCAGTTCTAGTTGAAGGGCCCAGAGAAGATGAGTTCTGATATTTTGTTATTGCGTCTCCTCTTCACCCGGTAAGATCTTAGTTGAATGATCCTTTCTTGATTGAGACATAGTTCTGAGTTCTGCTAGAGACATTTTTGTTTTCACTGGTTTTTGTTGCCTCAAGAGTTGTCGTCCGTGGTGAGAGCCTTTGAGCTATTTCTTCTGCCCTCCTTGCATTTTCTTTCAAATCTCAGAAACACAATTTATGGTCTTAGTTCATATGACGTTTGTCATAATCTTCATGCTTACTTTCTTGTATCGTGTCATTATGCTTCAACCCAAATTTCGCTAGTGTGATAGGGAAATTTTGATTTTCCATGCCCAGTGGCAACACTGGACTCCTATCAACTCAAGAAGTCTGTGCCGTGATTGTTTATGTAACTGATCATAACATTTTCAACGCTACAGTGTGTTAATTTTTTTTCGTGTCCAGCACACCATTCAGCATGGTGTGCATTGGTGATTAGCAGGATTCACGACCCATCAGTACATGGGTTCGATCAGGACCGTGACCCCTTTTCGCGAAATGATGAAAGTGGAGTAATTAATTGTTGGGATGCCACAGAGAAACCGGAGAAACCCCGGAAGAAAACTCCGTGATGCCTGGACCACGGCCTTGCCCAACAGAAGTTAAAAATTCTGAGCACCGCCGAGAATCGAACCCGGGACCCCAGTATTACAAGCCCAGCGTTCTAACCGCTAGACCACCGTTGCGGTTGTGTGTTAGTTGTTGACCATTATATTTTTTTAATCATCTTATGAATAAATTAATGAGATCTATTTGGTGTGCTTTCCTGATGATGCTGTATCCAATAATTCAACCATATCTGCAGTTGTTAATTAATGGAACTGAGTCCACTAATGATAAATATATAACACGCTAGAATGTCGACTGTACGTCATGAAACGCTTGAAAATGTTAGCGGATGGCTTCCAATCCGTAGCCAGTCACTATACTGACTGAGCTACCCCGGTCTCCCTCTCGTAGGCCTCGTTAATAAGATACGGTCAATTTACTGGGTGTGGTTCAGTTGTAGTCGTGTACTACGCAGTTTTAGCGGGGCTGCTAATAAACAAAGGGTGAAAAACACAGGTCTAAACCAGAAAGAGGCGGATGTACGGATAAAAACAGGAATAAAGGGTAGAGACCGCTTGTGAGACCTAGGGTGACGAAAATGGATCTTTAAGAAACGGGGTGTGTGGATGTGAACTGGATACATCTAACTGAGGATGGGGTCTGATACTGAATGTTACTTTCAAGTGCTTAGCACATCTGCTTCATGTGTAAAGGTCTTGGGTTCAAATTATTGCCCAGACATGATAGGTTTTTTGTGATTTCTATCAGTCGCTCCAGGAAATTGCCTGGATAGTGGCTTAAATTACACAATGTTTTCAGTTTATCCTCTCACTTATTACTATTACGTAAACCACGCCCCATCATTCTCATCCCCCGTGATTTTATGACCTTAATAGAATTTGATAAAGGGTACAAATCATAAAGCTGCTCATTTTGAAATTTCCTTCAGTCTCCTGCTACCGAAGAATAACTCTGGGGGAAACTTTAGACTTGTTTCAGCAAGTGATTGTTTGCCACAAATCATATTTGTTTCATGGCACCTGTCTGGGATTCATAAATTGCATCAGCACATCTAATTTAGATTTTATGATCTGCTTTTAAAAATATGATATTTATCCATTCTTTGCAGAAATTGTATAAAGTGAGTGCAAAATGGGGAAGTTTTCCCTTTAATCTGCATATTTCATATCTAAAATTACTTTATGAATTTTGATCAAATTTTGTTTATGTTCTAATTAAGATTTAATTCTGATGTTTACCAGTCAGTTATACCCTTACTTTATATAAAGTTGAAATTGAAGGTTATCAGATATCTCACAGATAGATTACTGTGAAGAAACATAGCAAAACATAAATATGGAACATATTCTTAAATGTTGTTTAGACGCACTTCAGCTTTGAAGTGTCAATAGAAATATAGCGGCACATTTAGATTCGTCTAGAAAGATGTCGTAATATTTTTGCTTTTAGATATTTTCTATGTCGTGGAACGTTGAGCATTCAAGTTCAAGTAATGATGTACATGAGACGAATAATAAACGACGCCGGGCGTCCACTTGGCGCCTCAGTGGCTCCCACGCTGGGATTAGGCCTACTTTTCACAGTAGCAGAGCACAGCAAACTCATCCCTTGCCTCGGCACGCAACAAACCTTCAGAAATAGGTCATCCAGGCTCGTGTTTCTGTGTTTGTGACATTTTTTATATAGATGGATGCCATTAAGCGATATCGACGTTTTGGAAGCTATATGAGGAATTCCGAAGAATGGGACAAAACAAGCACGCCTTTTCTTGTTTGTTTTTTGGAAGAACATTGTTCACAGAAAAGCCAGAGACACGTTATTCTGTGCTTTATACAAGTTTCTCAAATTGAAATCCGCTAAACGCGTGATAATTGTTGCACTTTTGAGTTCTGTGTCATGCTGATATGCAATAATAAACGCAAAGTGATAAGAAATGTATTTAAATAGCGGCACTTTGTTTCAAATTTGAAATTTATTGTAGAAATTAGAACTGTTTGCGTAACACAAAGTAGTTGCGTTTCGTATTAGTCTAATAGTCATTCTAAAATTGTTACTCGTATGAAGGAAATGCATCAAGAGAAGTGATGAAGTTTTTCAGCTAACACCGTTGTTCAAAATACTTATGGATGTTTACAAAGATCTATTCTTATTCCCAAGCCAAGCAGCGGTCCTCTGCCGATATGTTTAGAAACACCATTTTCATTTCGAACATTATAAGCATTGTCAGTATCGAGTTTGAAAAATCATTAAAGAAGCCCCAATTGATTAATACGTGGGTAGACTCGGTGTGACAACCACGGCGGAGCTAATATTACCGAAAGGACTAGGTGTTTTGCAGTAACGCTTTGACGTAACATCAAAACATAATTAATCATCCTGAAATCTTTCAACAATAGAGTGGGCCGTGTGTTAAATAACGAACATGTGTCGACTTTTTAGATGGAGTAGTCCTTGAGGAGCTGATAGTCGCTCAGCTAGTCAGATTCCCCGCCGTTTATAAAACCCGAAGGTGTGTTTGCTGTTTTTAACAAGACGTCGCCTCCATTCTTCATCCTGAGCACGTGAATTCAGTCCTCACCCTCTCGCTCTATTTCCTTAAGATCCATCTTAATATCTTTCTCCCATTTACGCGAAGGTCGCAAACGTTCAGGTTTTTTCACTACAACGTTTTATGCACTTCTAATCTCCCTCATGCGTGCTACATGAACCGCCAAGCTCATTTATTGATTCTGTCTCCCCCTATATATATGTGTGTGTGTGTGTGTGGTCTGGTGAAATTTTTAAACACAAGACAGTTGTAATTTTATATTTTAATTTAACCTTTCAGGCCTGCATATACCCCACATATACGTCTTATAAAAGGAGTCCCGCGTAACTCGAAACCCGCCTACTGGCATGCGACGGATGTGTTGTGCGTCGTGACTTACTCATTTCGCAGTAGGTCGCTCGCTGTCATCCCGTCATGTTGTTACGGTGGGTTCCGCGTTACATGGGACACACTGTGTAGTTATAGGATGTTAAAATGTACGGAATGTTATTATGTATGCTTTCTAAAAAGTTGTGAATAGAATGAATTCATAATGAGAGGCATTGTCTATTCGTCCGTCCGCAAGTCTCATCTTTGAAACTATCGAATGAACTTTGATTAAATTTTCAACTTACATTAGAGGTTTTTGTTTCTTTTGTTTTGTGTCGATCAAATATGAACCGTAAACCAGATGGCAGGATAGTGCTTTAAAATAGGTCAGGATCGCTTCTTTTCACATCCTTCCAGTTCATTACTCATTAATCCTATAATCTGATGATGTATAGTCCGAGTCATTGGCAGCGTCGTTAAATAAAATACAAACCAGTAAACAAATAAATCTGACTGAAGTTTAGGATTCTTCATGTCGTCTGCGCGCGTTGATATTGTTCGTAGCAATACTTTGGGATTTTGCTGTTCGCCACCGTGTCCAGGCCGATTTTGGGGTCCATTGAGTACCTAGGGCTCTTTCTATGGACGCAAAGCGGCCGGAAAATAAAGCTTTATCTAGAGCTGACTTCTAGAATTCATGGAAGTTTCCTATATGCATTCACAACATTGACACACAGGGACAACTCTCCAGGCGAACTATATTTAAAAAGATGTGTGCAATTGTGTAAAGTAATGAAAATTGTGGGTGAAGGCAAGTGCCTACTGAGGTGTACGACTACCCATTCGGAAGTTAGTGTAGCCCTGATGTCGGAAAAATAAAAGATTTCCTATCAGACATGAAACTTCCTAAATTTAACTTTTTCTGATATTCGTAGCTGATTCTTATCACGTTCAATTCTTAGATGGCTGTCTTCTGGGTTGTAGGATCATACAGGTTCTTGCTGCCTCCATCGTCGTGGCGATGAGTGACTCATCACACTGATGATGGAGGCAGTAAAGACTTTGGTAAACTTCTGTCAGACTACACGGCGCTACAACCCAGAAGACAGAAATCTTCATACTCATCGCCCTGATGATGGAGGCAGTAAAGACTTTGGTAAACTTCTGTCAGACTACACGGCGCTACAACCCAGAAGACAGAAATCTTCATACTCATCGCCCTGATGATGGAGGCAGTAAAGACTTTGGTAAACTTCTGTCAGACTACACGGCGCTACAACCCAGAAGACAGAAATCTTCATACTCATCGCCCTGATGATGGAGGCAGTAAAGACTTTGGTAAACTTCTGTCAGACTACACGGCGCTACAACCCAGAAGACAGAAATCTTCATACTCATCGCCCTGATGATGGAGGCAGTAAAGACTTTGGTAAACTTCTGTCAGACTACACGGCGCTACAACCCAGAAGACAGAAATCTTCATACTCATCGCCCTGATGATGGAGGCAGTAAAGACTTTGGTAAACTTCTGTCAGACTACACGGCGCTACAACCCAGAAGACAGAAATCTTCATACTCATCGCCCTGATGATGGAGGCAGTAAAGACTTTGGTAAACTTCTGTCAGACTACACGGCGCTACAACCCAGAAGACACATCTTCGTACTCACCGCATGTGAGAACCTCAGATCCTACGTACAAATCTTTTTTGCTGTATTATATGGGAGTGCGTGTATATACCTAGTGGGCCGTGGATGAGTTGATAATGTTTTGTTTCAGTGAAATGTTTAATTTCTGTGAATGTTGATAATACAGTTAGATGTGGATGTGTAAAGTTTGTGTTTACTGTGGGATTTGGAAGTGTTCTGTTTTTTAAAACAGGGTCTGTGAGTTGTCCACGTATACCAGAGGAAACTACTCTGAAACTAAATGAGCGCTAGATATGCGTTACGTGGATAACAGGGAAGACAGCCTAAAATGACGTACGTGGGTGAAAGTGACACACCTGTTTCACTGCCAAGTGCATCGGATGGTTTTAAATTTCACCGCTGTTGTGTTGGTTATGTTGGTGAGCAACTTCAGTCCAAGATGGCGTATTGCTTAAGGACGGTTTTTAAGCTCCGAGTGCAAAAGTTTGTTTTTCTGGTGTTTCTTTTACTGTTTTACAGTAGCAATTTATGAGCATTGGCAGTCTGAGATTTGTGATAAGCTTATTGGAACAAATATCCGGCTAATACTCAGGAAGTAAGTTATAATTAATACTAATTCCTTCAATTAGTTTATCTTGTATTCTAGATTATGACATTTTAAAGCAAGTGCAGCCAACTTGGAATAAATGACATTCGAGGGTGAAGTCTGCACACAGACTTAATAGCACGTTATTTTTCTTTGTCAGTCGACATGTTTACGTGCTGATACTCGATTTAGTGCTCTCAAACTTTATTGTGGGGAAGTTAACTTTTACTGTGTTTTGAACTTGATTATACAGATCTGTTTTACTTTGTAATCGTGCTCCACGTCTGCAGTGTTTGTTGTAATTGCGCTCTTGTATTATTGCACCATTTTATTGGAAAGACCTTTGCTTTCTTTACGTAAGCTGTTGCACCATTTAATTGTATAGGCCAATATGGTGATATGTGGAGTTTAAAATAGATAAAATACAATATGCGCGCACACACACCTCGATGAAATGTTCATAGATTTCATCTGAGTTGTCCATTCATCTAATACGTGATCAAATAATCTTGTCCTCTCTTTTCCAAGTGTGTGTAGTCGTGAAGTGTGGGGCATAATGAAGTCTTGCTCTTGTCAGGCAAGGAAAAATAAGGCAGGCAATTCAGTCACATAAAGGCAGATCTGTAAATTAACGCGGGATGCCCTGCCCGGCTTGGAATCCGATATTTGTTGGCAAGAAAACGGGAACTTCAGTCAACTGGGAGAAGCTGTCGATGTAGTATAGTGTAGGTATCAGGCCACCCTGTGTCTGAGATACTGCTTTAAAATATGCTGCGGTCTACTGCAAATTCGCTGTTTATGTCCGCATTTGACTGAGAATCTTGTGATCTACGTGAAATGTATCTTTGTGATCTGGCCTCCATTGTTAAAGATCACAAGTTCAAGGACTGGTCGGGCACAGTGTTGATTTGTCCGCTTATAAACCTCAAATCTTTCAGTAGTCAGAATAACATGACTGAAAAAGTGTTCTCCAATAATGTACACTTATTTTAAATATGTGTTCTTTGCTGTTTTGACCACTTTATGGGCCTTGAATATAGTAATTTATTACAGATATACATCTTTCGTCGATTGCACTACAAATGCCACACTGCACAGAGCCAGGACATGTTTTCTTGAATTTCGTTAAATGTTAGTCATATCCGAGAATATTTTAAAATAAACGTGTGTTTTATTGATAAGAGTTTTATATTATGTGCCGATTTTTTTAGGGTAAGAACATCGGTAGAGATGATTTGAGGTTCTTGTAAAGCGAATATGAATCACGTTTAATTAATCTTAATTCGCCCGTTATCCCACATTTAATAGGAAGCTGTTCAGTAGTTTCGGGGCAGAAACATGCTGACAGACGGACAGATACGATCCCCCATCTATGGGTTCACTCCGTACAAATAACACGCATGATAGTTGTGAGTATGGGGAATGTTGAGGCCTTACGTTCTTGTGACGTCACAGTGCCAACGACCAACGTTATAGGCCTAATCGTTAGAGAATTAGGATAGAATCTGCCTTTTTGTTTCTCCAAGCTAATGTAAGATAGTTCGCAGAGCTAGACGAACGGCGTATTAACAATGTGTTCCAGCAGTATCTTCATTAAAATCGCTACAGAAATGTGACATTTGTCCATTTAACTTTGCATAACAGTGCTTGAGCAGGCCATTTTAAATTATACAGTTTTAGTTTCTCAAGTTTTAAAATCGTTTATTTTAATATTTTGTTAATACTTTCCGATTGTTTTCTCTTAAGTCAGCCATAGAGTGGCCATTCAGACCAAGATAAAGTCGTTTTAAATGCAAATGTATATAAATAAGCAGTGGGCATATTGTTTTAATAGCTAATGTCAGTTAAATTCGATGTATTCCGTTGATGATTTCCTCCTTGTTGCGCGCCATAGTCTGTTATCACGTAATTATGAACATGGTATTGCAGTTCCTCTGACTGTTGGATGCTTATCAGGTTAAATAATTTTGCAAAGTGTGTAAGAGACAGGACTCAGTGGCATGGAAGCTAGATGGGTCGATACAAGATACGTAGAACATGCGAACTTTGTTCTGCTTTCGTCCAGATTAATCCGGTTTCTTTAGAACAAGAAGTATTAACCTCTTGCAGAAAGTCGATTCACGAAATACGAGGTATTTCTGACTCTCATAAAATTTACATAACAGACAACTGGGAGTATGAAATTATTCTCAGAGTCTATTTTTGTGTATATATAACTTTATTCTACACTAGCTCTTCGTACTGATTCTTTAAGGCTCAGTGGTAACGGTATATATCACCTGCTTTAGTAATCAATATTAGTCAATTTTGTATTTATGGGTTTAATATGATTCTTAGAATAAACAGCAGTTTCTCGTATTTCCATAAGCAACATTAACCAGCTGATCTTTATAATGGAAAAGTGTTGCGTTTTCTTCCAGCTAAGAACCAAATGCTTAAATATTAATATTTAGACGAGCAACTGCGTCAGAGGGTTAAGAATTTGCATTTGAATCAAATTCCTTTAAGTCTCGTATCCTATGATCCTGCGGAAAGGGTACGGAGGCAGAGATACGTCGTTGAATGTGAATTGGCCAAAACTGGATTGGGTACCTAACTTTAGGGTTGTCTGTTGAGTGTTTTCCTTGATTTTGACGTTTGATAG